ACCTAGACTAGAAGCAAAGGTCAATATCCATAAAATTATTATGTTAAACACACAGAAAGCAAGTTCACTCACAAAAATGTGCTTGTAGCACTCATGGATCGGATATAAAAATTTTGAGATTTTTATATGCTTTGTACACATTTTCCTAGGATGAAAAAATAAAATAGCTGAAAGACGCTAAAGTAAGTGCTGACAGCCCCTTCTATGTCACTCACAGGAAATGACCAACTAGAACAGAGAATAATTAGAAAACTCATACATCATCACCCATTTTTTCCAAGTAAATTAACTGGCTAATTATCTGGATTATATACCATAAACAAATGAAGCTCTTTGCATTTCAAAAGTTTATTCCAATCATTAACATTTTTGTATTTCTCACCCAAGAGCCAAGCAGAGTTGAGACTTTGCTCTGGCAACTCTCTGGAGCTAAATAACAGAAGTGAGAAGCAGAACTACACAATGTAACCTTTAATGTATGCACAAGAACAATTCATCAATTGCTGTAACTATAGACATTTCCAACTCTTTCTGTACACATATGGTTATACTTAATTGGAGCTTTTATCTCCAACGTTCAAAAGTTGTTATGTGTGGTAATCTTACACTGGTAGAGATCAAATATGTTTTCTGAACTTTTACATATTAAGTGTCATTATTATTCTGAAGCAAATCATTAAATCAAAAAATAAGATTTAAAAATTCACCTAAAGTCACATTGTAACTACGATTCACTGCCCCAGGAAAAATGGAGCCCCTTGGGGGACATGGCCTAAACATTTATTGGAGACAAAAGACTAAAAAAGACATTTGGAAAGTTCTGCAATAGTTTCATAGATAAGAACCTCACACCTACTGGAGGCTGTCATTACAATGACCCCTAAAACACTGTGCCACTAAAAACTATGGCACAAAATACCGCCTTCTTTTACCTTTAATCTGGCTTAACCATTTGCTTCACCAGTAATTTCTCTGTTTTGTTTGTTTGTTTGTTTGTTTGTCTGTGACAGAATCTTGCTTTGTTGCCCAGGATAGACTCCAGTGGCATCATCACAGCTCAATGTAACCTCACACTCCTGGTCTCAAGCAATCCTCCTGCCTCAGCTGCCCAAGTACATAGGACTACAGGCACCCACCACCACACCCTGGATAATTTTCTGTAGAGACAGGGTCTCACTCTTACTCAGGCTGGTCTTGAACTCCAAGCCTCAAGTGATCCTCCTAACTGACCTCCCAAAGTGCTAGGATTACAGGCGTGAGCCATTGCACCTAGTCCTTCAATAATTATTCATGTAGCCCCTTTGTCTTGGCCAAGTACGGTGGCAAACCTGGAGGATCAAAACATCAAGAAGTTAGTCCAACCAAGCCAAATGTGCAGCTTAAACCCACAGAAAATTAAATGCCTTATATTTTAGTCAGGGCCCAAATACACAATAAATAAAGGGCAAATATGGGTTATTCATAAAATGCCCTCTGTCCAGCCATGATGAGTTTCAGTAAAATTCTCTATCATTTCCTTAATATAAATATTGGAAGGCCTCAATACTTAACTTCCCAACACATACACACACGATCCAGTTCACAACAAGCACTAGCATATAGTTCACGAATATATTTCTAGGCTAATTTTAAAAATTAGCAGCTATGGTATTTTAGTCTAAGAATAAATAAAACTGAGTATGTATTTTTCTCCTGTGTTCTATGTCAAACATTTACACATACACTAGAGGAATCCTCTACATGAATCAGAGAGTAGCAACTAAACTCCAGCTCAGGCCCTCGCAGGGAGAGGACACTCTTTGAGATAAGGAGTCCTCTAGGTCATAAATACTAAGTAACCACACCTCACTGAGAAGCAAATAAGGTGACCCAACTCCCAAGTTTTAAGACTCAAATCTGAGTTAATTTCTGATGGGTTGTACAGTCCTCTAATTCCAGGAAAAGAAAAGTGCAAGACAAACGAGAGTTCAAGAAAATTTTTACCACTGTAATCTGAAAGTGGTCACAGAAGAACTCAGCTACTTCCTATTAAGTGAGCACAGGTCTAGCGCTCTTTTCAGATCTTGATAAAATTAAAGTTTTTGTTGGTTTTTATGTTGCTTAGAAACTTATATTCAGACTAGAGAGCAACTTGGAAGATCATGGTCCACCTGATTTTACCAATGAGACTACTGTATTAAATGAGTTAAATGACTTCCCTGAATAGCTACGAAGTGGCAAATGGGAATCCACATTGCCTAAGATCCAGTTATCACTCTCTCTACTCCCCTGAAACAGATACTTACTCCTATTCAACAGATAGTTGTGAACGTTAACTATGTCCAACACACTCTGGGACTAAAACGCTAAAACATGGTGGAGTCATCGTTTTAATACCTAAGTCAGCACAGGAAGCCATTTATGGAATTTGAGGAACATCTGAAATTAACTCTCCTTATGGCCCTAATTTTTAATTTCTAACTGAATCCTTCTATCTTCTTTGTAGCCCTTCCAACTACAGAAGATGAATCTCATCAATGAAGATGATAATACCAATTACAGGGCATTTATTATATATGTCAGCCATCATTCTGGAATCTGTATATACATTAGCATATTGAATCCTCTAAATTACCTTAAGAGAAAGATACTACTATTATCTCTACTGTACAAAAGGCATGGAGAAATAAGTAAATTGTTCTATCAGAAGGTAAATTATACCCAGGCATGCCTTTATTACTACTACCTCCTAGGCTCCTGGTCATGAGTCTTTCCATGATTAGCTGGAAATTACCTGGCCCCTCTGGATCTCAATTTCTTTGTTACTGAAATGATGGGGCGGGGAAATGATGATTTCTAATGGATCTTCCAGATCTGCCATTCTGCGATTTACTAATTTGCAGTATCTAACCAATTTGCAGCATCTAACCAATCTCTTCCTTACAGAGGAAGAAAAACACTTTATAAAAGCTAAGGATGATTTTTCCCCAAAATTCAGACCTTTGACTCTGCGGAGATTTCAGAATGAGAGATAGAGGGGGTAGTTAAAAGGAGGATCCATTCTTAACCTTATACATCCTAACCTTTATCTGGGCTCCAGTCTCAGGCATTTTTTTTTTAGTGGGGGGGAAGGTAATGGTACATCCATGTGACTGAAAAATATACAATTATTAACAATGATGTTTAAACAAGAGGTTTTTCTAAATCCCTAATGATGATTAGGAAGAGTATGTAAAAATATGGAGAAATATCACATTATAGATTAAAGAAAAAAACTCTAAAAGTAGACTATAATAATGGGCATGTTTATTAAAACATGAGGCACGAATCAAGAACATTCAACAGTGGCGGTATCTAGGTAACAGGACCTGAGAGATCCTGTTTGTTTCTCTTTTCTTCTTCTTTCTTCTTTTTTTTTTTTTCAATGTAAGCTTAAATTACCTCCATAATTAGAAGGGATACCTTTCTTTATAAAGGGAGAAAAGGTGCCCAATATTCTCACATTGGTTTCTCCAAAGAAATACTCTCCTGAAAACATCTCAATTGACACAACTGCAGAAATTCCCGAAATACAGGTTTGGAGGAAAACACCATTATTACCTAGTACGAATGGGGAAGAAAAGTTTCCTCTACTGCTTTAGGTCTAGCAGAATTAAGTTTTAAAGGGTGTTAACAAGAATGCTGGGAGGGGAAGTTGCTTTGGAGTCCAGGGACACACACTATTCTAGAGCACAGCCCAGGAAAAAAAGAACAGGTGCAGCAGATGAAGCAGCAGACCGTGACAGCCAAATGATGCTGGTCCCATCCAGAAATCCCAGCCTGGGGCAGTTCTCCCTGTGTGGACCTGTCATGCACCATGGCCAGCCACATGGCCAAAGGGACTTTCCATGAGCACAAATAACCTTTCCTCAGTGAAGCACTGCAGCAGAGGGAGGACAGGTAGCATATTTCATGGACTCTGTAACTGTTAAACAGCAAAACCAAACTATCTCTCACTTCATTAGGCTGTAGTTACAGTAAGCACATCAGATAGATACATCTCTATCCACATATAAATACACCCAACCCAACATATATACACACGTGGTCCAGTGTACAACACAAGTCAATGGCTTTAGATGGTGAAACATTTCCCTCTATAGCATGCTGAAAATGTTTTGCAAGCACATGTTATTTCTCTGATTCCCACTTAATACCATAAAAACTCAGAAAATAATAAAATTGAATAATCACATTCAACATACTATTAATTACATATGAACCTCCTGCCTTACTAGAGCCGGCTTGTTTACTACAGGTGTCCCAAACGTCACTACACAAAAGGAAAATGTGAAATTGCAGCGAAACATACCTTCGTTTACAAAACATTCATTACAAAATTTTACAAAGAGATGGCCAATATGCAGAGAAGGTTTTGCAAATATTCTGTAAAATTTTGTAATGGATATTTTGTAAATAAGGGTACATTTAGCTACAATTTCCCATTTTCTCTCTATATGGTGACTTTTGGGACACCCTGTACTTTGTAGCAAGTAGATAAAGACAGATCTGATATACAAAGAATAGGAAAACTAGAACAGGAAAAGTCAGCTCCTCCTTTGGGAGACGGACAAACAATATGTGGCGTCAACACCAGCTCAGAGCCTGATTCAGCCAAGGTTTGCAAGGAAGCCCTGATGCCCAGTGTACCAGCAGCTCCAGACTAGCCCTCCGCATGGACACCACACGGGACTTCTTGAACACGGCCACCAGCAAGAAAGCAGCAGCACAAAGGCCAGCATGTGTCTGGGAATCAGCATGTACATTAATTTAAAAAAACATACTTCTGTTGGCTGCTACCAAAATTCACCTGAATAATTATTTAAAATTGAAAAATAATGTAATGTAACTAAACATATCATCTCTTATTTGTTTGGTCTTCTAAGGCATTTTTTTTTATTCTACATGCAAAGGTAGCACCTATTGATATTACCTGGCAGTAATTAAATACATCTGACATTAGATAGAGAAATTTAACCTACCTCATCAAAGGTGGTGTCGTCTTTCTTCAAAGCTATGAAATAAAAGAGGGAAAGGAAACAGTTATTGTCGAAGAGACTGAATAGCTGAGTTCTAGAAAATAGAAATAAACAAAGCAGTATGGTGTTTTCATTTCAGAAAGTAAATTGCACCCCAACCTGAATAACAATGTTATGATACAAACAGGAGAAGTGCAAATGAAAAAGAGAGAACTGCACAGCCTGCATCTTTGTGAGAAATTTTTCATAAATATGTAAATGGAACGGTCTTCCCAAATATGGAAAAGAAGCCTGTATACCCTTCCCCATCACTTCTTTAGTTGGAGCGTGTTTTAATCAAAGTATAAAAGAATCACAAAGTAATCTTTTAGAAATTTCCCCCTAAACTCCTGGATTTGGGGACATATGTCATCATGTGTGGTACACAGACCTCCCAAACCAAGTGTCAGGATGATACTCGCTCTGCATAGCGCCCTGAGCGACATTTTCCTACTAAGAGAAGTTCAAGTACAGTAATGAAAAACTAAGGGTGCAAAAGAAGCACGGGAGAGTAAGAGACACAATTCAAACATTGCAGCATGATAAATCTTTATTTTTATTTTCTTTTAATTTCAGGTTAACAGGAGAGTACAAATGTTTAGGTTACGCTGTTTTCATTTCTAAGGTAAAGTTCAAGTTGTAATTGAGCCCTCCACCCAGGGGTATGCTGAACACCCTCATATTTAATAATAAAATATTTTCTTTTTTTTTTTTTTTGAGACAGAGCCTCAAGCTGTCCCCCTGGGTAGAGTGCCGTGGCATTACAGCTCACAGCAACCTCCAACTCCTGGGCTCAAGCGAGTCTCCTGCCTCTGCCTCCCAAGTAGCTGGGACCACAGGCACCCGCCACAACGCCCGGCTATGTTTTGGTTGCAGCCATCATTGTTGTTTGGCGGGTCCGGGCTGGGGATTCGAACCCACCACCTTAGGTGTACGTGGCTGGCGCCTTAGCCAGTTGAGCTATAGGTGCCGAGCCGATAATAAAATATTTTCAAAGAAAACATTATGTTCAGGATATTTTATAGGCATCAGCAAACGCTTCAAAAATATTTTAAGTACCTAGTCCTTTACAGCTGAACAACAGGAATAAGTTCTGAGATATTTGTCACGAGGCGATTTTGTCGCTGTATTTAACACTAATCTAGACAATATATTCTACTACACACCTAGGCTAAATGGGACAGCCTGCTGCTCCCTGGCTACAAACCTCTACAGCATATTACTCTACTCTATTGTAGACAACTGGAACACAATGGTAAGTATTTGAGTATTTAAACATATCTAATCATAGAAAAGGTACAGTAAAACACAGTGTAATAATCTTATGGGATCACATGGCATATGTGGTCCTAGTAAATGCAGTCCCTCGTAGACAAAATGACATTATTCGGCACTATTATATGACTGTACATATCTTCAGATCTGGCAGGTTATCACTCTAAAGAGAAAGAGAAGGGTGACGCCCGTGACTCAGAGAGTAGGGCGCTGCCCCCATATACCAAGGGTGGTGGGTTCAAACCCAGCCCCCAGCAAATTGCAACAACAAAAAAATAGCCAGGCGTTGTGGCCGGTGCCTATAATCCCAGCTACTCGGGAGGCTGAGGCAAAAGAATCACCTAAGCCCAAGAGCTGGAGGTTGCTGTGAGCTGTGATGCCACGGCACTCTACCAAGGGTGACAAAGTGGTGAGACACTGTCTAAAACAAATAAATAAATAAAATAAACAGAAAGAGAATTTAACCTGTATCTGGCAAACACCTTGTTCCTTAGATTTCACAATTATTCAGAATGTTTCACATTAAGGAGAACGCACAAAATAGCTAATTTCTCTGAAACCACTAGTTGGAGAAATGTCTCAAATTTATAGAACTACATATAGGTGTTTAATGCTCTACACCACAAGTTTTAGTCTGGATAGAAATACTTGGGCAGCTATCAATTGGAAAACTTTGTTGTGACAAAAGCAATGAAAAGCAAATTATTTTGGCAATTAAGCACTGAGAAAAGTAATATGCCTAAACTGAAGCTATCATGTAAAAACTCCTAATACACATTCCAGCAGTCTGAAAAGGTTATTTTCTCTGTTTCACATAATATGCATCTTTTCAAAAGGATCAAGAAGGATGTGATTGTGGTGATTGAGTGATTTAAGAGGAATGCAGATAGGCTGCAGAAGTTAAAATATTTCTAAAAACTTCTTTCCTTTTTGTCTAAGAAAGGGATCTATAATAGACTTCTCTACTTCATGAGATAACAATTTCTTCTGAATGGAAAATAAAAGTACCTTGTCCCATTCTCAAATGGTTTATCTTACGTTCAATTACCTGCACATATTTTATTTTGTATTTGGCTTGACTTACCTACATCATGACTAAAATAACCTACTTTGATAGAAAGATACAAGATCCTAGGCATTCCTAATGGCTATCATTTCTTTAAATACCAATCATAAATGTTACTAGACTATACGCCCCACTTCCTCAACTTAAGGTGTTTGCTTTAATCAACACATTTGTCTGCTGAGTCCTTAACAAAGTATTAGTAATACAATTCTAAAGGTAAATAAGTTGCTCCTTCTGAAAAACTAATTTTTTTGGAATAAGAAATGAATAGCTCATTGATTTGTAATACAAAGTCACACAGGAGCAAATTATCATACAGCCTCATCCTTAGATCATTCAAGAAAGATCAATGGAGCACACAGAGTCTGTGATTGCTGTGCAAGATGCAAAGTGGCAAGCTTACGATTCACAGCACAAATTGTTAAGCAATTTGCTTTGGACATTATGAAAGTTCTGGAAATTTAGCCATTTATTTTCTTAAGCCAAGCACCCAGTAAGAGCTACAACTGGCACCATCCCTTAGGGAATGAAAACGCTCAAGGTGAGAAATGAAGCACAGACACCTAGAAAGTCTTGAACATTCACACTGGACCACCATTTCCTTCTCCTCTCCTAAGTCCCGACAAATTCTTCAACATTCTGAGTAAAGAGGCAGGGTCTGCAGGTAGCAAGAAAAGGAAAAAACAGAAGAAACATGTATCTTTTCTAACATACGAAAAACAAAAGGCCAATTCTTTCCTTTGCTCAATACCCTCAAGCTCAGAGTATTATATAAGACCACTACTACTGGCTCAGCGCCTATAGCTCAGCGGCTAGGGTGCCAGCCACATACAACAGAGCTGGCAGGTTCGAATCCAGCTCAGGTCTGCCAAACAACAATGGCAACTATAACCAAAAAACAGTGGGCATTGTGGCAGATGCCTATAGTCCCAGCTACTTGGGAGGCTGAGGCAAGAGAATCGCCTAAGCCCAAGAGTTTGAAGTTGCTATGAGCTGTGATGCCAGAGCACTCTATGGAGGGTGACAGCTTAAGACTGTCTCAAAAAAAAAAAAAAACAAAACCACTACTACTGATACATTGACATCTCTCATTGCTAGATAGAAACCTTATATGGTTTCTTCTGAATATTGAATCTTTGAATCCTATCTTTTCTTTTTTTTTTTTTTTTTTTTTTTGAGACACAGTCTTACTCTATTGCCCAGGCTAGAGAGAGAGCCATAACATCATCCTAGCTCACAGCAACTTCAAACTCCAGGGCTCAAGTGGCCCTCCTACCTTAGCCTCTAGAGTAGCTGGGACTACAGAACCCACCACCACCAGCTATTTTATTTATTTTTAGTAGAAACAGGGGTCTCACTCTTGCTCAGGCTGGTCTTGAACTCTAGAGCTCAAGAAATCTTCCTGCCTCAGCCTCCCAGAGTGAAAGGATTATAGATGTGAGCTACCTCACTCAGCAGGGAGAATCCTGTCTCTTTCTAGGATTGAATCCCTTCCCTGAACAACAGTTAATAACAGTGACAATAAAGACCAATTAAAGGTGTCTTTGCCAGATAGTTATCAAGCCATTAATTAGTAAATTTTGACCTAAACAAACATTATTGATCACATTTCCCAACTGTCATTAATCATTCATGTAAACGTAAATCCACAGTTGTCTTCAAGGATTTCATGGAATAACAAACATATTGCATTATTCTGGATTAACAAAGGGGCACACAATAAACTATTATATTTAAGATGAGCAGATACTCTATCCAGTCCTCTGCTCAGACATGGCCTCCTCTAGAAAGCTTTCCAGAATCTCACTATAAGGATAACAAATTTTCCTTTTCCTGTGCTCTCCAACTCAAATTTTGCTAATTCTCACTAATTCTCATGGTAGAATCTGTTAATTTAGATTGTCAATACCCATTTACTGCCCCATCTTCCAAAAATATCCTTGAAGATAAAGACCAGTCACATTGTGTCAGCACAATATCTGGCACACAGGAAGACAATTTGCTGCATTAATGAGTCTTGCACCTCAGTGGCAAAAGGACAGCATCTTATACTTTGAAGCACACTGATGTATGGCATGTAAAAATCATACAGTCAGACAGGCACGGTGGCTCATGCCTGTCATCCCAGCACTCTGGGAAGCCAAGGCAATGGACTGCCTGAGCTCACGAGTTCAAGATCAGCCTGAGCTAGAGTGAGACCTCGTCTCTAAAAAAATAGCTGGGCATTATAGCGGGCACCTGTGTCGCTGCTACTCGGGAGGCTGAGGCAAGAGGATCACTTGGGTCCAAGAGTTTGACATTTCTGTGAGCTATGATGCACTCAACTGAGGGCAACAAAGTAAGACCCTGTCTCAAAGAAAAAGAAAAGAATCATATACTGTTTTCTCTTCTGAAAAGATCATAAGAATAAATTCCATTTCTTTTTTTTTTTTTTTTTTTTGTAGAGACAGAGTCTCACTTTATCGCCCTCAGTAGAGTGCTATGGCGTCACACAGCTCACAGTAACCTCCAGCTCCTGGGTTTAGGTGATTCCCTTGCCTCAGCCTCCTGAGTAGCTGGGACGACAGGTGCCCGCCACAACACCCGGCTATTATATTTGTTGTTGCAGTTTGGCCAGGGCCAGGTTTGAACTTGTCACCCTTGGCATATGGGGCCGGTGCCCTGCCCACTGAGCTACAGGTGCCGCCCATAAATCATTTCTTTTCAAGTTACATTGGAGAATATAGTACAATTGTTAAATTTTGTGTCTATACCTTTATCTTTGCTAACAGAACAAATTTATCAAATGGAAACTGGACTCTAGAATTACACACTCACAGCACAAGGTAACAAACTCCAAAATTCTGTGTCTTCTTTTTATTCAATTTTTTTACAAACAACATCCTTTAAAGAAATGATATATATAAGGTTCATCCCAAGTATTACAGAATATAAACTTCCTTTCTCTAGGAGATAATCTAAGTAAGTGCCAAAGAATGCATTCAAAGGAATAGGAAAGAATGTTAGTTTGACCTTAACCATCCACCATATATTACTCAAAACCTTTTTCCTCCTAGACTAACACACAAAAATTAAAAGGAACAAAAAGAGAAAAGAAGGAAAAGATTTTAGTATTATTTAAAGTCCCATTTGTCTTTGTTAGCCTAAATTTGAAAGAAAAAATGTGAGATAACTACAGTAATTCCTAAATAAATGGCCACACGAACACTATTTAGCAAAAAACCATAAATACTACTGAACTCAATGGGTGACTTTAAAATTCAATTACACCCATCTTATAAAAGAACCATGGCCTATATTGTAGTCACTCCCTGGCAGATGTCATAAATTAGAGCACTATTGCTTGAAAGCCAATGTGTTTTATTAGACCTTTTATAATGCAGCAATCTCAGATCAGCTGTATTTGGGCTGGATAGTGACAAAGTCAGCATGATTTCAAATGTGTAAATAAATTAACCATTAGCATTGCTCTTTTACGTATTCAGAATTATCTTATTAATGATAAACAATGACCGAACATCATATACTTTCAAACACTGTCCTCATTTTCTGTAGATGAATGATTAGGAAATGATATTGTATAATTTGTCGTATAACAAGCTACTCTTTTAAATAGTACTAAAAAAAAGCACAATAAAGTCAGGATTTTTATTTTAAAAGCCATCATAGATTGGTTAAAGGAAATGATTGCACTGCAGTGTTGGAGTATTCTACAGAAATAAACCATTCACTCCACCATCTCTTAATAAGGACCAATGAAGGAGGATGACGGGATAAACAGAGACTTTGGAAGGAATAATAACAGCCTCCATTATTGATCTTCACTATGTGACAGATATTGTACCAGATATTTTATATATTTCATATGATTTAATCTTCACAACAACCTTATGAATATTTATACATGAGAACTCTGGGCTTTAGGGAAATTCTACCAGTTGTCAAAGGCACACAGCAGCAGGGAAAACAGGGTTTAAACTCAGGCCTCCCTAACTCCAAAACACATCGGGTTTTCAGGCTAGTATACTACAAAGTTAGTGACCACTGCTTCCTCCTTCTCTTGCTTTCCACATACAAGATCAGTTGTATCACTACTATGCAACTCCTAGCAATGATAATAATGATATCATTATTATCAAGCATTTACTAAGACTTTATTATGTACCACATAGAACATCCTATGCGTTACTTCACTAAGTACCAACAACAGAACTTAATTGTACATGAAAAATTGGAGGCTCGGTGCCTGTGGCTCAAGTGGCTAAGGCGCCAGCCACATACACCTAAGGTGGGGGGTACGAATCCAGCCCGGGCTGGCCAAACAACAATGATGGCTGCAACCAAAAA